TAAGGTAAAGGTGCACATTAATCCCAGTAGGGCACTTCATCCTCTGCATTTTTTGACCCATCCTGTTGCCGCTAAGGCTTACGTCAGGAGCAGTGGTCGCCGTAGTAACAGCGCCCGGGAATCCATCTTGAGATGTTGATGCTCGGCTTGGTCAGGACCACCGGAGCTGGAGGATTTTACCTAGTGGTAAAATCTGGCGGTAGTAGATGACGTCAGGTACTGGCCAAAACTGACTAAGGCAGGTAATGACAGGACACTGTATGACAGTTAAATGTCGGGCTTAAATAAGATAAATATGCGTCAATTGAGCAGTATGAGTTGAGTCGTTGACCGTGTTAGAGCCATGTTTACATGATACTGCCATTAGAGGTCTAGTTGTGACAATGTAGCCCCAGAGACAGTAGAAAATACGCAGTTACAATTTTATATTAAGTGATTGTGGCAAAAAGTCAGCAGGACTCTCAAAAGTTCCCAGAAAGTGTCAGCACATACACTTGTGTAAAACAAAGTCTTTCTTATCTAAATGCTCCTTCATCTTAACATTACTGCTGAAACTAGTTGTGATCTGGCCACTGGACTCCAACATCACACGTCAGTAGAGGGATTTTCTCCAAATTATCTTCATCTTCTCCAGGTTCACGTTCAGTAGTTGAGTTCTGGTGTACAGCCTAAACACATCTCTTTTGGGGGGGTCTAGCAGGTGTTACCTAACAGAAAAAATGAGCTGTATATTAGTTAAACAAAACAATGAAGGATATTAAAAATATCATACTTACACAACAATCATAAACCATAAGTAACACAGGACGGAAATTTTCTCATGTGGGTTGCCCATCAGGAAAATGTTTCCCACATACCTGGAATTGATGAAAAATACATTAGTAATGTAGTTTTAACATTTAACAGTTTTATCTTAAGGTTTTTATTATACTTAATAAGGATGATGTGGGATTTGAACCCAGAACTGTCAACTCGTGACCCCCACGTAATTAATTAATTGATTATTGAAAATTCATATAACGTTCATATAACGAATGCGCTATTATTGTATGTGTGTAAATGCTTATCTAAAAGCATTACTGTGCATTACTATTAACAGTTAGCTAACTTGTAATAATCTGGCAAATTCCAGAACGAGTCTCACAAGCTCCACTTTGCAAATTACTTTTTTAGCAAACGTGTAATCCAATGTAAACAAGAACTAACATGAAGTGAACGCACATATACAGAAAGTGCATTACAGGTCCTGTCAAGAGCAATGTCAGAGCTTTTGTATCTGGCTAACAGGCTAACGAGGCTAACAGGCTAACGAAGCTAGAAAATATAGCAGTTACTTTTTACACTCATGTCATTTATAGACAGCAACCAGTGGTTTTCTCAGATGTAATAATCAAAGCTAAACTTACCACTGCTTTCTTGTTTGGCTTAAAGCCATCTAGGTTTATATTTTTCATCCACTTCAGACACACATCTTGTTCCTGAGCTGGACCAGGAGCTTTCTGCAATCCGTATGGGGGAAGTCAGTATGGTCAGTATGTTGTAAAGGTTTAAGAAGTTCACACACGGTTCTGTTGCAGGCTTGCACAGCCGAACACACAACACGCTCTTCCAGGCATTATAAAAGACAATTCCATGACAGCCACGGGACAAACAGCTTCACGCAGCTAGATGGCACTGCTATAATGGCAGCACTGTTTAGCACGGTTTGGCCTGGTCAGTCTGCAAGAGGCGATTGCTTTCGTCTTGCTGTCTGTGGCCCGCCCCCTTCATTTGCATTTTATTATCAAGACACGAGGAAAGAATGTGTCGTGAAATAATAAAACAGAACATCAATTTTAAAAAAAAGATGAAGAAAATAAATACATGGGGAAAGAAAAAAAATGAGATTTTATTATCTCTTTGGGCACAAAACGGCAGTTAAATTATAAAAATATATTTATTTTAATCTTGACCTTTGAACGAACAGAAAAATAATAAAGATGTATTATTTAGTTTGAAACCAAAAAACGTTGTATAATAATATGTATTTATTAAATCGCATGATTTGTTGTGTTATCTTAATAATTATTGGCAGAATGTGACATTTATTTATTTATTCATTTATTTATAATTTTGACAGTTTTGGTCCTCCATAGTATATAGCGATAGCGGTCACAGCATATAGCGATAGCGGTCACAGCATATAGCGATAGCGGTCACAGCATATAGCAAAAAATGGTTAGCGGTCACAGCATATAGCAAAAAATGGTTAGCGGTCACAGCATATAGCAAAAAATGGTTAGTGCATAACGGTCACAGCGTAGCGATAGCGGTCACAGCATAGCGATAGCGGTCACAGCATAGCGATAGCGGTCACAGCATAGCGATAGCGGTCACAGCATAGCGATAGCGGTCACAGCATAGCGATAGCGGTCACGACGTCTGTCCCCTGCAAACCAGGCTGCAAAACTCCATCAACACACAGCCTTTTGGGGATTGTGCGCGCTCTATCGCAGGAGCCTCTTCGACTGAAGGCCGCACCGGGGCCTAGGGCGCCAAACCTCCTCTCACTAAAATACTCAAAAGCATTCTCGTTTTCTCGTCTCTCCAAATTGAAATGCAACTCGCGGAAATTCAATTTGGTAGACGTCAGCCAAAGGTAACCCCTCCAGGCCGGCTCGCATCCCCAGCCTATCGCACAGCAAACGCCCCCTTCCAATCATCCGTGCCGGCCAGGCAGCTGCTTAAAAGCGGAGAAACTCCCACTTCACGGCCTCTCGAAGCCTTGCAACCACCGCCTCCCCTCCTCCTCCTCTTCACCCTGCCTCAATCTGCCTCCAATCTGCTTCCTGCTGCCAAAATGCCGCCACCAGTGCCTAGGTCCCGGGGGATTGTGCGCGCTCTATCGCATGAGCCTCTTCGACTGAAGGCCGCACCGGGGCCTAGGGCGCCAAACCACCTCTCATTAAAATACTCAAAAGCATTCTCGTTTTCTCGTCTCTCCAAATTGAATTAGTGTTGTTAAGAAAAGCGTGGAAGCTGAGTAGTTGTTCTTCGGAGCCTGTGAATATGAAGATGAGATCATCAATATATCTGCCATAGAATGCGATGTATTGTCTGAATGGGTTGTTGTCTCTGCATACATATCGCTGTTCCCAAATTATTTATTTGTTTGGCGCATTGACCCCGGCAGTGACACTTGCAGCGATGAGATCGATTGCAGCTGAAGATGATCTCAGATCCCCAGGGGTCAAGCACTGGTGGTGGCTAGAATATGGTGTGAATGGGGCGTACGTCGGAGCAGGAGCCAGAGCAGGAGCCTAGAGCCAGAGCCAGAGCAGGAGCCAGAGGGGGTGCTGGGGAAGTGGTGGGTGTTTAAAAGCCTCAGGAAGCGTTGCTTGTCAGGAAGTGGCTGCCTTTTAAACTGCCCGCTTTGCTGTGAGAGGGTTGGCAGGAGGCTGGCCGGGCTGTGTGATTGGCTAAGGCTCAGGGCTGGCAGAGCTGTGTGATTGGCTAAGGCTCGAGGCTGGCAGAGCTGGGTGATTTGCAGGCTTGGAAGGGGGAATTTGCACACGGTCTTTCAGTCTGAATATCCGCTTCAGCTCCATTATTATAGATCCATACCACAAAGGTCAGATCACAACACACATATTAATGCCATCTGTTCAATCAATGAAAAAAAGTTCAAGCCATTTTAAGGCAGACTTGGTTTTTTCCTCTGCAATCCTACTTTTTAAGTAAATGAACAGGAGGAGGTCCTCTTCCAGGACAAATATGAGCCATTTACTCCAATGTTAATTGGAAGTCATGTTTTCATTAAAACAAAACTATTGTTTTAATGAAAACAATTGTTTTGTAAGACTAAAGCTATTACTACATTAAGTGAAATAGCAAAGGCTAAAAGTGCATATTTATTTGTATAATATTTTAAACTTCACACAATTACTTAATAATTTCATATTAAGAGCTCGGAGAACTGAAAGTCCTGCACAACCAAACTGAAGTAACACACAATTTAGCAACTATTCGTATTCAATTGCAGGTAGAGGAATCCTATTAGAGCCAGACTAGAAATAGAAATCCTCAGAGAGAGGAGGGAGGGAGGGAGGAGTGAATGCACAGACAGCACAGTGGTCCATGTGTGAGAGCTGCCAGAGGAACGCGCAGCGAGAACCAAGTTCAGCGGAGAAGGTTAGCGTTAGGACCCAGCGGACACCCACACTCTAGAAATCACACAGACGCACACACGCTCCATCCTAATAAATATGATCGTAGCCTGTTGTTGCCCTATTCTTAAGACAAATATTTGGTTAGTGCCATTTCAAAAGTTGATATCTGTTTGTAAGGATTTTATTTCTGAAATAAACGCTCGGTCGCATTGATGTGGATGGTGTTACAGTGATGTGCATCGGACTAATATCGTGACAAAACTTTATTATGCAAACATATTCCTTGATCCCCTTGAGTATACTCACAGAAAGAAAACACATACTGTTTGCTCTTGTTCAGTGAATGATTGGACTCAGGTCTCAATACAGTATGCAGTGTTTTCTTTTTCCTGTTTTTCCTGAAACATTGCATTGTATACATGGCTAGGCCTGCATACTTTGGTAAGTTATAATAATTCGGAAGATAAGACTAATGCTTTCAAGCTCTCATTCTTCACTGTCCCGGGGTGTCCTGCCCTTATTGTTGCAATTCCTCTCCCGGAAGTGTTGAGGCGCGTAACCACTGCGCCTTTACGCGTGCGTCTGGCGCGTGCTGCTGCGCTCTGCTCCGGTATGTCCTTCCAGTCTGCCAGAGCGCATCTGAGCGGCGCGCACTCCACACACTCCAACGTACGTCACTGGACAGTCCAACTTCTCAGCCTTACTTTTATCACTTCGTTTCATCCACAAATGCGAGGATTTTACGCGCTTCTTGAGGATTGTGAACCCGGACCGTGGATCAGTACTTTGTTGGACCCACGCGGGAGTATGCCTGTCGTTGACGTTTGAACGGGACGCTTTCTGACCCACAACATGGACACGTGGAGTTATTCCTGCACCTGGACCGCAGCTTTGATCTACTTTACTCTGTTGGGATTTACGCACGGGCAGTTCTTTCCAGGTAAAAGCTTTAACACCACTCGCATGCCATGCTCCCGATGTTGTCTCGTGCCTTTTCGTGAAACCTCCGTATGTGTCTTAAAATGTGCATTAAGTTACTTCTTGGGCTCTGATTGTTTGATATTGTACCAGAATCTGAGACAACATTTAGGGAAAATATACTGAAGGGCATGGGAACAACAAGTGCCCGTACTGTCCAGGAATCCCGAAGCTCTTTCTAAGTCATTAAGAATTCTGTGTAGTTTTTTAGTTTCAACTTTCATCATTTTGCCATTCGGTTTTTTCACAGTTTCCTCGTATATCATTGTTGTTTGACTGAGAACGCTGTTGTAAAGTTGTGCGGACGTCTCGCTCGCTGCTCCATTGCGCGCAGCGGAGTTTAGCTGCTTTTCACTTTGTCCCATCACGCATCTCACATTTAGGCACCGCGCTGCTTCTCTAAGTCAGACCCTGTAATTTACGCCGTTTTCACACGTACGACTGTAAGAATCCTCCCAGATCCCTTTCATCTCCGTTATTTTTGAAGATGCATATAGTCTCCTAAAGCGTGGTTCTTATTGTGTGGAAATATTTCACATGAAAATTATATAGACTTATTTTTGCTCTATATTTTGTGTTACTCTGGGTTTTTGGTATACTTGTTGCGCAACTGAAAACACTTTTCAGCTATTTTAGTTTAGTAAAGACAGTAAAGACCCATTGCACATATCTAATGCAGGGACCAGTTTTAACGCTGTGCAAAAAGGTGTTTGGATCAACAACAACAAAAAAAAAAAAAACATAGAATACATTTATAAATTAAAAACAAAGAAATCCTTGCATTCCGTTTACTATGGCATACTTTTATGTGAGAGATCGCATGAGTACATTTAAATTGCTCCAAAAGTTGGCACAGGTCAGCTTGTGAGAAACAACATCTTACATTTGCCTCTTTTTTGCTCTGATCTCTCGGCACCTTCTGTTTAGTATTCATGCCCCGTGCTAGAAGGCTGCAGAAAGGGCTGCTTTTAGGGAAAGACTGGCTCCAAAAACTCCTCCTCGCTCGCTGCTCTGCACTGACTCGGCGCGCTCTGTCCGCACCGCGCGTAAAAGACAAGACCACCGACGATTCAAACTTTGTTCAATGTTTTTGCAAGTCAACGGGACTGTCTCAACGCATCCCTGCACTGAAATAACAACAATGAGGCGATAATAACAATACCTTTCTGCTTACACATTTATTTAGGATCGTACTCATCCGTGCGTAATGAGAGAGACGCTCGCTTCAATACCTCGGCTGCCTTTAGGGGGCGACATTTAATCAAACAGCCTATACCATTTAAAAAACATTACGGGTATTTGACTATATAAAAAATAAATAGAGTTAATCTGCACAAACAGATAAGTGCCATTTGACATATAACATACAATTTGTCCTTCACCAAGTCCTTATTTGAAATCTATTTTAGTGCCATACAAATAAGGGTTCACCCTTTTTTACGCAAATCCTTTCAAATTTACTGCCAATGTTGAAGATTATAACCAGAGGAATACAACTTTTTGACAATTTTTCAAAATAGTGATACCTGATTTTTTGTATCCACTTTGGTTGGTTTGGTTCCAACCACATTCCGCAGGGAGACATGTGTCCTTTAGTGTCTCCTTGCGTTCCCTGAAGGATATGTCAGCGTGGGGTCACATTATGGAGCCCTTTATGTGATTTACATGACTCACAAAAGGCATACGTCTCATGGCACAGAGGACACATGTATCCGGATGGAAATATGGAAGTCTGTATTGCTTCCTGTTACCGAACATGGTCTGGAGTCAAATTAACGTTAGACTTCCAATGTCATTATTCATTTTTACAATGAGTTTACTAAGAGGTGCGTTTTGATTTCATTCTTTTGGATTTCTATTAGATATTGTGTATTGTATTTGAGGTGTCATGAGCACAGAGACTCTTTTTATCCCTTCCAACATTTAGAAATGGGGTGTCCCACTGGGTTGAACAATGGCTGAGAGCTGTTTTGCTGTCCTTTTTTCTCTATAATTTTCTTGTATATGAAGATGCTGTTAGCTTCTGTAAAATGGCGGTGCAAGTGAAGGCAAAGATGGTTCTGTGTTGTGAGGACGCTCCCGGTCACATACTGAGGTTGGATGTAATAGGTTTAAATCTCCTTTGTTGGACCCCATTTTAGACAATAACGTTATTATGAACAAAATGATATAAGGTTGTGAGTTAATATAAGATTCATGTCTGGTGGTTGCCAACACCATTTGTTTATTTGTTTGGAATCCAGACAAGATAATGGCACACAACCTCTGCTGATGCACTTTTTGGCACAATATATTGTCTTTGGCTCAGATTTTCTGCTCATATGAAAGAGATACAAAGTAGTACAATATCATAATTAAGGGTTTTAAAGGAGACATATTACGCAAATGAGGCTTTTTTTCCCTCATTAATCACTTGGAGTGGTTTTCCATCCAGGGTAGAATCAGGAAATGGCACAAACAGGCGTCTGTCTCCTCTTTCCTGTCCCAGCCCTGTAGTAATGATGTCATGATGTCATTGTACCACCATGACGCCCAAAAGTACAAAAAAGTGGTGGCTGTAAATTGTTTTTTGTATTTTTTCAGGTGATAGTACAATCTTTACAATGGCATGGCTGTGTTTGCTGCCAGAGGTATTTTTTTTTTATTTGTACAAAAGCAAAACAGATTTAACTTCTGCCTCTGGTGGGATAGAATTCCTATTTGACCCTTGATATCATTTACCAGTTGTTTTCAACAAAATGCAAGAACATGACAACATAGAAAATTAGAAATCCTCATGATCATTTGTAATGGCCAACAGTAATGGATTATGTCTTCCCTAAATTAAACTTTAACCTTATGAAAAAAACAGAGAGAGAGAGAGAGACAGATAGAGACAGAGAGAGAGAGACAGATAGAGACAGAGAGAGAGAGATACACAGATAGAGACAGAGAGAGAGACAGATAGAGAGAGAGAGACACACACAGATAGACAGAGAGAGAGACAGAGAGAGAGACAGATAGACAGAGAGAGAGAGACACACAGATAGAGAGAGAGACACACACACAGATAGAGAGAGAGAGAGACGGATAGAGAGAGAGAGAGAGACACACAGATAGATAGAGAGAGAGAGACACACAGATAGAGAGAGAGAGACAGATAGAGAGAGAGAGAGAGAGACACACACAGATAGAGAGAGAGAGAGAGACATACAGATAGACATAGAAAGAGAGAGACACAGATAGAGAGAGAGAGACACACACACACAGAGAGAGAGAGAGAGACAGATAGACAGAAAGAGAGAAAATGGAGAAAAAAGTTTAGTTTTTCACTGAATTAATCAAGTATACTGGAGAAAATTGTACGTGTGAAAAACATTAGCTCTTTTTTTGTTGATTAAAAGTGCAAATTTGGGAGGATTTTTTGAAAACTTAACCCATGAGTCATGACGAGTGGAGACAAGATCTGAGTTCAATTCCAGAGCCCCAAAGCAACTGTTCAGCGTGCACCGATCACAGCTAGAACACAGACAAGTAGAAGAAATAAGTCAACTACATCTTGACTAATATTAAAAATAGTCTTAAACAAATATAGAGATAATACAATCGGACGGAAGAGGACAGGTGGAGGACACGTGGCTCCAGGTTTTGTCATTGATCAGAGCGCCGTCTCGGAGGAAGGACAACAGTTTGAGCACAAGTCCTTTAGCGGGTCAGACGCGGAGGAAATATCATGACGCTAATCGCTTCTGTCTGTCACCTCCTGCCCCAGTCTGTTTAGTATTCTGTTAAGTGCTCCAGACCTCAGAGCTTTTCCCATTGGCCTGACACTGACAGGCAGATGTGTGTGTGTGTGTGTGTGTGTGTTTGTGTTTGTGTGAGGGTGTGTCAAGTGTGGAGAAGAGGTTGTGAAGTTTTAATCTAATGAGACGTTCATTATTGTCCATATTTGGAAATTCATTTCCTCCATTCAAGCAGCCTCCCAGTCTTCAGAGAGAGATTACCCACATACAGGCCTCACTTGAATATAAGCTGCAGGTTTTCATGAAATATTTAAAGTAGCAATATGTAAGATTTTCACGTCAAGTCATCATTAAAGGGCCCTAATCTGTCAAAAGGCATTAATAAACCATGCTCTTTTCCAATAAAAAACTTCCTTAAACTGGTAACAGGAGTTCAGCTGAGATATTTGTATTTCAAAATTAGTTTCACAGCCTGTATGTCTTGTTATTGTTTTCATTTCTATGTCCCGCCCTCCACCGTTTCACCTATCAGAAAGTCTGTGATCCGGGTTGCCAGATCTCACTGCGCCAAGTAACATGTGGCCGCAGAACTAAAAAAGATCTTGTTATGATTCGAAAATTATTAATGATAAAACATGGAATGAAACAACAAATTCTATATTTGTGAAAAAGGTGTTGGTTGTAGATTTGTTGCTTACAAAACTCTTGTCTGTTCAGATATTACGTTCCCAGCTAGGTTCGTCTGCATATCTGGCAACCAGGGAGAGTGGGAGAGGTTGCAGTTCAATTTTTGGCCAGATTTTTACATACTGCTCCTTTAACCAAGAACTGATGGAGCAAAACCATTTAATGATTAAAAACTATTTCAACAGGACACTACACGATTTAGTAGTATAAGTAGTAATTCAACACATTGAACCTTCTGCCCATTACGACCCCTCATCCAAAAGCTCTGAAAAGATCTGTGGGATTCCAGAGGTGCCATTTGAGTAAAAGTCCCATTAGCTATCGTTGAATAAGTTTACAAAGTACTCGTGAAAACCAGATCACTTGCTTGTAACCACAGAGACTGAGACAAGGCCAGCAGATGTATTTAAGAGGGCAGGTCAAAGCCAGGCTCCAGTATATGGACACATGTGAGGCGATTTGCATTGATTAACTTATTACAGCCCTACACAATAGCAATTTAATTTACAAGTAGTTTTTTTTATTTTTACTTTATTTTTTTATTATCTCTTTC